CTCCTGAGACTCAGACTCTCCTCCTCAGGCCCGGTAGCAGGGAAGCCAGGTGTTTAGCAGGTTCTAAGTGAAGCCCAGCAGAGAGAGGGTTAGACAAATCTGGGGATTCCAGGCTCAAGAGGAAGAGTTGGGGGGGCCCTGAATCCCTTCTGACTTTCAAACCTAGTCTTGAACTTGGAATCCAGTGAAATAAGATGCGCAGAGCCAAGGTGAATATGAACACTCCCCTGCATGAGTTTGGTTTATTGCTCAAATGGTAGCTAACATGCCATTCTAGCTTGATGGGAGTCTTGGTCCCTCCGAGAATCACAGCCAGGCTTTGGGTGGGGGTGGGGTTCCCAATGAAGAGAGAGGCTTCCCAATGAGTTGAGGGGTGGCCCCAGCAATGCTGGCACATTCAGGTGTGGATCAGGAGGGGCTTAGGGAGCGCTGGGGAGAGTGGAGATAAGATGGAGTCAAGAGGAGTCTCTCATCCTCTGCCTCCTCATCTCAGATTCAGGAAACAGATGCTACTAAGTGACAGTGGTTTCCATGTCCATGAGGATCAGTGAATTTTCCCAGCAATGGAAGAAGTTAGGTGTTACAGTTTTACTGAGGGGGAAACTGAGACACAGAGAGAGTCAGAAAGTTGCCCGAAGTCACACATGAAGAGGTGGTGCCAGGGTTCAAACTGAAGTCCTACATGACAGGAAGTCCACCTCTGACCACGCTGACTGGATTGCTGGGCCTGTTGGCCTGTGAGGTTACAGGCAGAATGATTATGTGACTCGGGATGCTTCCATCCCAATTCCTGCGCTACCCAGAATGACACCAGCTGTGGCTGGAGGACCAGGGTCTGGAGGGTGCAGCGTGCAGGGTATCCCCAGGCATGCTGTGAGGTGCCCAGAAGCCTGAGATGCAAGCGATGACTTTCAAAAGCCAATGGATCTCCACAGAGATGCCATGCAGGAGGAAGGATGACATTGGGATGGACACTCAGGTGGGGAGTGTGGCCAAACAGGGTCTGTGGACCAGGCTGAGCAAAGTAGGCACGGGACTGGCCACCCTTGCGGTCTAGGCCATGTGCTGATCAGAGAGACCCCTGGTATGGGTGGTGGGCCTGTGTTAACTGTAACGGCACCTATACCACATAAAAACCTGCATGTATATCCAGTACATCCCAATTTTTTTAGGTCAGTGTGTTTATTGTTGGCTGTGTGATGCCCAGAGTTTCTTTTTTTTTTTTTTTAATTACAACAGTTTATTTTTACATCATTTTGTGCCTTTTTCCATCTCAGTTGTAATTTTTTTTTTAACTGAGGTGACATAAGACTGGGTAAGTTCCCAAAGTACAACTTCACAACTTGACAACTGTCACCACGCCCACCACCAGACCTCTGGCTTCCCCCCACCACCCTCCAGCTGAGTGTTCTACCTGCTCCTCCCATTCCCCACACCTATCCATCACTGATGACCACCATTTTGTTGTCAGACCCTAAGGCTCTGTTTTTGTTTGCTTTGTTTCTCCACCCTGCACATGAGTAAAATCCTGTGGTACCTTTTTCCTTCTGACTTACTTGACATCAAATAATGTGCTTGTGATCTTTACCTCTGCTTCTGTTGTCCTCGCCCTTGCCCCTCTGGGCCTGGATAGTGCCAAGACCTGTGGTGAGGACTGAGGCTGAGGGAGTTCAGATGCTACCAGCAGTGCTGGGCTTCATGACCCCAGCACCATGCCAAGGCTGTGAGAGAGGCCAGCCTTTGAAGTCCTGCTTCCCTCGGCTACCCGCGAGAGGAGCAGTGTGGTGGGGATGGGTCACTGTTGAGAGCCAGCATGGAGGAAATGATTTGAGCTTGAGGTGGAGACGAGATCTGTCTCAAGCTTTCTGTTTCCAGAGGATAACTGTCTTCTGGTTCTCCTGGAGACAAGCCTGGTGCTGAGCTACTCAGGGCAGGGCACAGCTGGTCAGGGTTCCCCTGGCCCTGAGCGGGGGAAGCGAACATCTCTCTCTCTCAGGCACACGCATGAACACCCATACAAACACACCCTCATTCTCCCTGAATTCTCTTTCACACATAACGCTCAGTTCCTCACTCCATACCTCTCCTGTCTTTGCAGTCTGCTGACAGCTGAGCTGAGAATCTGGATCTGTTCAATGAGTTGGTGATTTAACCCAGAGCTACAAGTGGGGAAACCAAAAAGGAAAGGTGGAGTGGGGTGGGGGATACCCGAGTTGCTCCCCAGTGAGCATCCCCATTGTCAGCAGGGCCACTGCTACCTCCGGGAACAGCAGCAAGTACACCTCAAGTCCTCACTCCCAACAAACACCACATCTCCCTAGGGTGAGCTCTGAAGGAGGCACAAGGAAGCAGAGACAGGTGGGCTGGGCCACCTGATGAGGATGCGTTATTGTGGAAGCAGGACCAGTGAAAGGGGCGGTAGTTTGGTGCTGAACACAGACACTGGGTGTGCAGAAGGAACATTCTTCTTGAAACTCATACTCAGCTGCCCGCCCCCAAGTGAAGAATGGAGGCCCCTTGGGATTTCTATTTCAAATTCCTCATTTATTTTGACATTCACTTGTGACTCCAAGTTATCAAAGATTCAGGACAAGAGATCCATAGCAGGAGCAGTGTTGTGGGGATGCAGACAGGTTGGCGAGGACAGGGTGCTCCTGGCCAATCCCTGTCTACCTGTTTAGGGTGCAGTCTGCAGCGTCCAGAGAGTGTCCCGGGACACAGACTCCATGGGAAAGTGTAGCACGCTGAGTGGGACGAGCTTCCTCTCCAGTGGGTGAGGCCAGCGCAGCCACAGGCAGGCAGGCAGGCTTGACCCTGCGCCCTGAGCAACGTGTGGGGGGGCCGTGACCCACCATCTCCACAGGGTCCCAGACCCAGAGTTTGTTTGCTTTGTGGGGTGACAGGATGTGAGCTGGGGACGCTAGAGGAAGAGATGGGCTATGCAGATGCTTGTACTCAGTGATCTCCATAACCAGGGGCAGGAGCGGGTGGGAGTTAACAGGGCTGTCTGGGTGTTGCAAAGGCAGGCGGGAAGATGACACAGTCTTTTCTTGGTGAGAGGGGCAGCCACCGGTGTAGTTGGTGGCTATGGAATTGCAGAGCAGCAAGGCACCGGGGTTGGTCAGGAAGCAAGGAGGGCACCGGCCCAGCAGTAGATGTCAAGGCGCTTGGGCCAGTCAGGGCAGTGGGAAGGACTAAGTTGATGCGGCTGTCCTAGTGGGTCCCCCTGGCTTGGAAGGGGGATCTCAGTACCCCCTCTCCCACAGAACTGTCCCCTGGGACAAGAGGAATGTGACCCGTTGAGGTCACCAAACAGGTCTATTTTCAGACAACTAAAATGGTCTGCCTCCTACTCCCTCATCTCTCAACACACCTTCCTGCACACAGGGTAAGACTGCTGGTGAGTGCAGCCAGCCCCTGTCAGGGTTAGAACACGGACAGTGGCGCCCCATCTCTCAGGAAGTCCTAGCTTTAGGGAGTTTAAGGGCCCTTACGCCCATCTGGGCAAGTCTCCTCTCCTTGGAGAAACCAAAGTCTTCAGAGATTAAGTGAAAGCGCCTAGAGCTAAGGAATGACCAAAGCGTGACCAAGGTCTGCTGATTCCCAACCCAGCAGTGTCCTAATTACAGAGCACAGCACAAGGTGACAGGTGCCCCAAAAGGGTGAAGTCAAAGCTGTGCTGAATTCTCTCCCCTGCCCCCTGCCTTTCCCAAACGCAAAATCCACATTCCTGCAGAGGGGCCAGCTCCTCACCTGCCACCACCTGCCTTTGCAGCGTGCAGTGACCAGTAGTGGTGGCCATGGAACTGCAGAGCGGCAAGGCACCGGGGTTGGTCAGGAAGCAAGGAGGGCGCTGGCTCAGCAGTTGATGTCAAGGCGCTTGGCCAGTCGGGAGTGGGCAGGGCAGCTGTAGTGGCCACCACCCCTTCCAGTAGAGGCCACTGGGAAACTCAGCAGGTGCAGTCACTCATATAGCATAGGGCCACCACTGAGGTACAAGCGGGGAGTGGGAGCTGGCTTGGGGCTGGAGTGAGCGCACCCAGAGACTCATGGAGGGAGGGCAGTGAGTCTGGGTCCCACTGCTCAGTCAAGCCCCTCCCAAACTCAGGCACAGGGCTGCTGACCCTGAGGAATAAGCAGTCCGGCCCAATGGCATCACGGCCATTGCCCAAGGCAGGAGCTGGGCTGCTAGCGGGCTTCTAGGGCTGCGGCATGGTCCTGTGGGAATCCCGCTGGCTCACCTTGGGCCAGCCAGTTGGCTGCTACGGGACTGGCCACCTTAATCACCTTTATCCTCATTCTCTCTGGGGGCCAGATTGCTCTTTCTAGTTGGTATATCAGACACCCTTTCACTCCACAGCTCCTGACCAGCACACACCCACAGGCTCACACCTGCCCCGGCATGTCCTGGGCTGGCCCCAGCACCCGGGGCAGGGTCTTATTCCTAGGCTTCTGGAACTCTAGGATCAGAAATTGAAAAAATTTGTCCAGCAGGGGCAGCTGGTTGGTAGAGCTGAGCTCTCTTGGGGAGAGACAGACTGAACTGCCACACTGTGGTAAAGTCCCCACTGACAGCCCAGGCACAGGCTGAAAGGCCCACCTAAGGCGTTGCCCAGGGAGGGGCGCACACTGGGCATTCAGGAACCCATATTCACTGGGAGCAGCTCTGCTAACTTCAGGGCTGGGTTCACGTCAGCCTCCAGTCTAGGGGAGGCTCCCTAACACCCTGCCCCCTCTCCTGTGTCCTTCAGTCCTCTTCTTTCTTCCCCCAGGGACTCTGGCTGCCTCCAGAGCCTTCACTTAGCCTTCACTTAGCCTTCACTTAGCTTCCCCTGCTGCTCCCCTCTCACAATCTGGCAAAGTTTTGTGTTTTGGGAGGGGCAGGATGGGTGAGAGGTGAGACAGGTGCTGTGCTGAGAAGCTGGCAAAGCTGCCCACTGGACCCGCCACGGGCTTGGAGCAGGACCTGCCCTGGTCCTCAGTGCACCAACAGCTGCAGTCCCAGTGCACTCTCCACTGTGGGGCAAGAAAAGTCAGAGAAACGGAGACAGAGAGGCCTGTGGGCTCTGGGTGGGCGTCCATCACTGTCCTGTTGCTCCTGCTGTGGCAGCAGCATTGGTGTGGGGGGAGCTGTGGGGGTGGGAGACAGGGGTTACACATCCGTGCTAATAGCCCTTGGATTGGTGTAGGCCTCACGCCCAGAGCCTGGCCACGTCACCGGGTAACTCTGGGGCGCTGCCAACTTGAAGGATACGGGCCCCCCCTCCTTGTAGTATGTGGGAACAAAGGAGAGCCTCTCACCTCCACCCCCATTGGGCACCATGTCAGCCGTCTGTATGTAAAAGGGGGAGCTGTATGGGGAGCAGGTGGTGCAGTGGCCAGCGGCCACCCCACAGGGCTCTCTGGTGAGGGGCACCAGGCTGCCTGGGCCATCCATGGCTTGGGAGCTGCAGGCATTGCAGGGAGGGCCTCTGGGGGGTGTGGGCAGGCCGTGATCCTCTTCCTCTTCATCTGCATCCTCGGCTCCACTCTTCTTGCAGCAGTAATACTGGGGGAGAAGGGGCACTGTGTGGGCCCTGGGGATAAAACCCAAACCAGAGGCCCAGGTTCCCAGGTGTGTATTCCCACCCTCGCAAGGCCAGGCTGGCTTTTCTTGCCCTACTTCCTTGTGCATTAACTTTAGGCTGAGGTTGGGGAAGGTGGAGGAGGAGAAGAAGGGACCTAGAAACTACCTTGAGGACAAGGCTGGGGCCCCTGAAATATCAACCTAGCAGACTCTCTTTGGGTGTCTCGAGGTATGCAGAAGGTGAAGGATAAGCACCTCTCCCTAGACCCCTCCCCCAAGCTTGGCCCCCTTGACTTATACTTCCCACAGACCATGGTTTTGGGCTTTGTTTCTACTTCCACAATGGGGAAGGGGCTCACCGAGGGCTTGTGGACACAGGCCCAGGGACTGACCTGGAGCCTACAGTAGCACAGGACAGCGATGATGCAGAGGAGGATGACCGTCGCGAGGATTCCGCCCGTGATCACAACCGTTCCCGCTGTCATCCGCCCGATGCCCCATCAAACTCTGCAAAGATGCGTGAGGGGAGGGGAGGGCAGCTTTGGAGGCCCCCCTGGGCACAGCCTGGCCTCCCTGGAATTTCCTGCCCAGCTGGAGGCAGGGACATCTGGGAGCAGCTGAAGCAGAGTGGGTTGGGGCCAGCGCCCCCAGGGGCTTCGGAAGACTGAGGGTGGCCAGCCTAACTCAGGGGGGTCACAGAGCAGGGGGCAGTGCTAACGGCAGTGGAATTCCCCTCCCTGTTTCAGTGCAGTTCTAAAGGTCTTGCTGTGTTTCTCCTTTGACTCTCTCCTCCCTTTCCTCTTCTCTATCCTCACATCCTGCTTAACACCCTGCCCCTCATCGCTCCCAAACACAAAAAATAATGGTTTCTGTCTATCAAGGGCTGAGTCCGTGTGAGGCACTGCACTAAGCACCCCCTGCTTATCCCAATTCATTCTCAAAATAACTTCCTGGGATAGTTATTAATTATTCTGTTTCACACCATGAACTGAGGCTTCAGTTGCTTTGGCTGGGAATCCACTCGGCCTGGTCCACCCCATAGCCAAGTTCTTCGTTACGCCCCTTTGGGACGCTGACTCCAGCGGAGGGGGCAGAAATCTCAGAAGTTTAATATGGTTCTGCCCTGGCTCATACCCACGCTCTGGGGGACATCACTCCTCTCCAACTCTCGGGAATCCGGGGTAGCCCCGCAGACATGGCAGGTGGCATGGCTCCTGGAGGTCTGAGGGCAGGGCAGGGGGCTGTCTGGCTTTGGGAAGACTCTGCTTTTGGGGTTTCCCAAATGTTCAGGCCCACGGGGACCAGGCCTGGCTGTGTCAAAAAAGTAGGGGTATGGGAGAGACTTGGCTGCCGGAGGGTGGAGGAGTGACGTGAGCACTTACGTTCAGTAAAGGGAACTGCGACCTGCAAGACAGCAAAGGCATGAGGTGTTGGAAGGAGGGTGTCACCTTGACCCCCGCCCCCAAAAGGCCCGAGGGGTGAGGTCAGTGCCTGAGCCCCACCGCCTCATCTTGCTCCCCTGGCTCTGTGCTCTGTCATCAATAAGCCTACACTACACGTCCCATATCTGGACCCCTGGCTGTGTCTCCCACTGTTAGTGGACAGACACTTCACTGGGGCCCCCAAGCTCATCTCACACCCAATGACACAGGCGGAGTCCTCACCCTCTTTCGGGGTCTCTCACCTATGACCTCGCTGTCCGTTAGCAGTTCTACTGCAGCTTTGACAAAGGGTCTTAACAGGCTGTTCATTACTCAAAAGGCAAGTAGGGGCTGGAATATGAACCCCACTTTGCACAGGATGCTGTGCACCCCTGCATGTTCACCCAGCAAGGTGAACCCAAGAACCCACCTGGGGCCCATCGTGGGCTCCTACAGCACCATGCATGCCCAGTGGCCCTGCCTGGATCCCCTTAGAGGACTTCAGGGCGCGGACTATCATGGGCTTAGGCAGCCAGAACTGGTGAGGAATGAAGTCCCTCAGGCCACTCAGGCCCCTCAGGGCACATGACAGACACCTGAGTCAGAGTCTGCATTTTAATAAAGTTCCAGAGTTTGACAGTTCTGGGGGTGTAGGGGTGGAGGGGGGGAAGTGTAATTCTGCTTCCTTTTTTTTATCTAGTCTCTAAAGGCCTTGCTGTCTTTCTCCTTCAATTTAAACTCTTTGCACAGACTTGAAAAATCCTCAAATTCCTGTCTGGCTACCTCATGCTCTTTGTACCTGGGGCCAGTGCTGTTGTGAGTAGCAAAAGAGAACCCAGCTCACTGGTTCTGTCTCTGAGGGCCCTTCACACCACCCAGTAGCCTTTCAACAGGCCCTGAAACCCCGCTGGTCCTCCTAAGCTCCCCTATTCCTACTGCCTGCAGGATACATTTATCTGGGCAATAAACCTTAGAGGGTGTTTCAAAAGCTCAGCACCCCCCAATCCCTCCTCTCCCATGCTCATCACCCTTCTCTCTTTCATTCTTCACCCCCCATCCCATTGCTCTCTCCTCCATCAGATGATCCCAGGTCTTGAGAAGCTTATAGCCCAGTGATAAAAAAAACAACCTACTTTACCCCATGCAGCTGGTAAACACCCGGCCAGAGGCTGTAGGGACACAGAGGAGAGGGCATGTGCCATCAAGATGCTGTACTTGAGCCCTAAATGTCCCATGACAGCTTGTTAGTAGACAAGAGGAGGGGACTGAAGTAACAATGAGCAGTCTGAACAGTCTGGACATGTGAAAGAACAGGTGGGCAGGGAAGGGGAGTTCTCAGGAGCTCTGAGGACTATGGAATGGCTGGGACAGGGTCAGGTGGACATGAGGCTGGAAGGCTGTAAGCCAAGCAAGGAATTAGTTTAAACTCATGCTCCTGGGGCTTCCTGGAGGGCTCCCTGCGGGGAGTACATGATCACTCTTGCCCCATCTTGCATTTTATTTTTTAAAAGATTTATTTATTTATGTATACAAGAACTGGGGTATAGGACAGAGGTGCAGTGGGTGAAAGGATTCACCAGAGACAGAGTGGGGAGAAGAATGGGTGGCTCCACTGAAATACACTGCTGAGGGGAGCAGCGAGCAAGTCAGGAGAGATCTGCTGTGCCATGTGGGTCAGCTCCCTGGTCGGGGATCCAACTGGTGCTGCAGTGGCTACGCATTGCTTAATAGTGCTGCGCTTTAACCCGTTGCACCACCAGGGAGAGCCCTCCCCACCTTTTAAAATTCTGCCTGTACCACAAGGCTCTGATGGATGACCCTCCCGGCTGCCCCCAACGTGAGGGCGTTTCAGGGCTCCTGCTGCTATGCCCTTCCATGTGCCACTCTTCAAATCCTGTTTTGGTATGCTGCTTTTGTGTGGGAACGTCTTGACTAATGCACTCAGTTATGAGGCCGTGGGTTCTGACTTATGTCGAATCCTGTTTCCGATTCCTCCACAGTTATCTGGCACACTGCAGGCCCTTAATACAAGTTTGGCAATCAGCTCACCTCTCTCACACCTGTCAGTTGTGGCTTGGACCTACCACCAGGGGGCAGCAGGTTGTACTGCTGGATTCACACAGTAGCAGCATAGTAGCAGACAGTGGCAACACTGTTCAGACCAACTTGGCTTCAACTGTATGCAAGGTAGGCCTTGCTTCAGGGCTTCACTGGGACCATGGGCAAGTGTGTGTGTATGGGGAGTAGGTGACCTCAGTCTGGGGCAATTATGTACCTTCACTGCAACACCGCTTCACCTTCCCCTGCTTCCCCTGCATGCTTACCACTCAGGATTCCTTAAAGAAGCCCAAGGAACGATGTCAAGCTGGGGGAGGCATCCGTGACCCTCTCTGTGGAAGGTCTAGACCTATACCTGGCAGGTGCCCAGGCTGTTTGAACAGATGGGAAATTCTGAAGCAATACCAAAACAGTGCCCTCACATCTGCCTGCTGGCTTCCCCCAGTTCCAGTCCCTGGAGGCTGTACAGTCTTGGACTCTAACAGGGTGGTCCCTGGGACAAGGGGAAGTTCCAGATTCCCTGCCCCACCCAGAAGGAGAGAGTTGCTGAGCAGAGAAAAAGAAGAGAAAAAAAGAAGGAAGCAGGATGGAGAGCCAGAAGGAGACCTGAGGAAGCCACATGGAGCAACAAGCATGTGATGAAGAAACCGGGCTTGTTTCCTGACCCTGGACTGGTTAAGGCA